GAAAAATCTGCTGTTGAAATTCAATATTTGACATCAACGCTATTGAAATTTGCATTGTTGAGATTCAATTTTGGACATAAAAGTGATTATAACTTCAGAATCATGGAAAATATACCAATTCTGCTGTAGCATAGTGGAGAATGGGATGATAACAATAATTTCATAAATTTTCATGTTGATGCAATTCTAATAAAGACATATTGGAAATTTGAACAACTTCTTAGAGAAATTGCAAAGCAACTGCAAAAGGACAGTAACACAATAGTTATTCAGTATGCTATTGCTCAAGGATATCCACCAATTACAATTTGCAGCGATATGAGTGTTAGTGTTTACATGGAATTGGAAAAATCAAGTGCAGGGATGACAACACTTCCCCTGTGTGTGTCGTTTGCTAAAAACACTATAGCTGCAAGCACCTCCAGTTTCGATGTTGCTCCAATTTCATCAGAAATTGCACAATTTGAAAGCACTGATATGATTAGTACGTTTGATGTGCAAGAAGGAGATGACGCCATTTTACAACTTGATGATGCAAACATCATAACTGATCAATTTCATCAAAATGTTGAAAAAGGATAAATTTACAAAGACAAGAACCTGCTGGCTCTCGTTATGAAACAGTATGCCGTTAGAGAAAAATGTCAATATCGGGTTAATAAATCATGCCCAAGAAGGTTCGTCTGCATTTTTTCAAGTAAAAAACTATGTGATACCTATATAGTATATAAGTATGCTAAATCAGTATACTATGCGAGTATGGAATTGTATTGGTTTGTCTGTATTTTTTATCAGTGATACTGGTATAGTATATAAGTATGCTATATCAGTATACTATGCAAGTATATAATTGTATTGGTTTGTCTTTGTTATTATCAGTAAAACATAATACCAATATAGTATATATGTATGCTAAATCAGTATACTATGTGAGTATAGAATTTTGCTGCTTTGTCTATGTTTTTTATCAGCAAAATATGATACCGATACAGTATATAAGTATACCAACAGAGTATACTATGTGACTATATAATTGTACGGTTTTTTGTGTGTGTTTTTTATCAACAAAACATGATACATAACTGTATTTGTATTATAAACAGGTATATCCTTGAATGCGTGGATGAAAGATGCACTTGGAGACTTAAAGCATCAAGCCTGCGAGCATCAAATCTTTTCAAAGTGACGGATTTCAATTCTGTCCACAGTTGTTTAACTGATAAGAGATTTTGTTCACAAAAGCAAACTGTCTCAGCTTTTGTTGCAGCTGTGGTACAAGATAAACTTGTTGACCCGAAAACCATATATACACCAAGAGATATCCAGAAAGACATCCAAAAAGCATATGGTATGGACTTAAGCTACATGCAAGCGTGGAGATCAAAAGAAAAAGCAACGCAATTGTTGAGAGGAACACCATGTGAGTCATACAAGAAAATGCCAACAAATTTTTATATGTTAGAGTACGCTAACCCAGGATCAGTGACACGACTACACACTGAAGGAGATGGGAGCTTCTTGTATGCATTTATAGCTATATTTGCATCGATTAGAGTATGTGTAACGACCCGACCCGTCGTATCAGGTATTACCGCCCTGTTTTCCTTATTTATTGCTTCTTCATGTTTCATTATCAGCAACGAGTGAGTTAGAGTTGAATTGAATTGGTTTGGATAGGAAATGAGACACTTAGTCTCTTTAAGGAAGGCTTAAATTGGAAAAGTCAACCGGACGTTGACTTAAGAGTTCGAAGGTTCGGATGTGATTTCCGATGATCCGGTTAGCTTCGGGACATGATTTGTGACTTGGGAGCGTGATCTGAATTGGTTTTGGAGGTCCGGTGTAGAATTAGGCTTGAATTGGCGAAGTTAGCTCTTTGGCGAAATCCGGTTGATATGTGAGATTTTGATCCGAGGGTCGGAATGGAATTCTGAGAGTTGCAGTAGCTTCGTTAGGTGATTTGGATATGTCTGCAAATTTTTAGGTCAGTCGGACGTCGCTTGGTTGGGTTTTAGATCGAATGCGAGTTTCAAAAGTTTTTAAAGAACTTAGGCTTGAATCCGATGAGAATCGATAATTTTAGTGTTGTTTGATGTGTTTTAATGATTGGAATAAGTTTGGATAATGTTTTAAGTCATGTTGGTGCTTTTGGTTGAGGTCCCGGGGGGCCTCGGGATGATTTCGGATGGCTAACGGGGAGTTTTTGGAATTTTATACAGCTGAAGGCATGCTGTTTCTGGTATTCTCACTTTTGCGGGTCTTGGACCGCAGAAGCGGAGCTGTGATCGCAGAAGCGGTCCTTGAGGGCTTGGTAATTTCCGCAGAAGCGGAAGGCAGTCCGCAAAAGCGGACATCGCAGGAGCGGGTGGTGACCGCAGAAGCGGTCCTGAGGATTTTAAGTTAGACCGTAGAAGCGGTTATTTTGCGCAGAAGCGGGAGCCGCAGGTGCGGTATCCCAACTGCAGAAGCGAAACCTGGCTGAGTTTAAGTGAACAGTGTTTTCACGATTTTGAAAGAGAAGAAACATTTTGGACTTCGGACTAAGGAGATTTTGGGCGATTTTTGAAGAGGGTTTCGAGGGCTATCATCAGGTATGGATTCTTAGACTTAGATTATGATATTATGGTGTAAAATCATGGATTAACACTTAAAATCCAAGGAATTAAAGGTTAAAAATGGAAGTTAGGGTTTGAGAAAATTATGATGTAAAAATGGAATTTGGAGGGTCAAACGAACTCCGATTTTTGTAAATTTTATATGTATGGACTCGTGGCGAGACGAGGAATCCGGTGATGTGAATTTCGTAATTTTTCGGGAAGCGGGCCCGGGGCTCGGGTTTTGCTAGTTTCGAGATTCTTGCTAATTTTCGATTGTTTTCGATTGGGTATTGTTCCCTTAGCATATTGTGATGTATTCGCTCTGGTTTTGGTTAGATTCGACGCGCGTGGAGGCCGATTGAGGGGCAAAGGCGTCGCGAGCTAGGGATTTCACCGGTCCGAGGTGAGTAATACTTGTAAATAATATCCTGAGGGTTTGAAACCCCGGATTTGCACATCATAGTGTTGTATTGTGGTGACTTGCACGCCAGGTATGAGCGTGGGGTAGAGCACTGTTGGGGATTGTGACTTAGTCCATCTCGGTTGTTGGTTTTATTATTTGGTTTGATTGCTATATTTGGGCTTCGTGCCAATTGTTTGAATCCTTTAGGGATTGATATCACTGTTTTTGCATTACTTTGCATTATTTTATCACAGTCCAAGGTTTAAAATACTGTTTCGCAAACTAAGCTATCTTTCTAAGATTTGAAAACCTAAATGATATTTTACTGACGTTTTGAGTTGAGACTGTTATTTTACTATTGCCCAAGGGGCTTATGTACATTTCTGGACTGAGGATGGATCGGGCTACGCGCCGCAGCGGTGTGATATTGATATTGCGCTTGGGCTGTAGGAGCCCCTCCGCAGTCTGAACCCCCAAAGTGAGCGCGGGTACCCAAATGGATCGGGCTGCGCGTCGCAGCGGTCATATGCATTGCATTGCATTCATGCATTGGTTCCTGTTTGTACTACGTGTCATGACATTTAGCACTCTCATATCATTGGCATCCATGCTATTGCTTGTACTGTTTACCAGACGCCCTGGTGTTAACTGTTTGTGGAGTGCTGTGCCCGAGGGGCTGTCTTATGTGCGGACTTGCACTATCTGATTTGCGTTCATTTGCTTGACTGTTGGAAAAGGATGTTTTCAAAAGAGGTTTTAAACTGAGCCAGATATTTTCTAAAGGACTTTCACGGTTTTACTGTTTTCTCAAAGAGTGGTACTGTCCTATATAGCATGATGGAGTGCTCTTACGTGATTTCTTGCCTCTCAGTTATTATTTACTCTTATTACTCACTGAGTTGGAAGTACTCACTTTACTCCCTGCACCTCGCGTGCAGTTGCAGGTATTGTTCACCGGGTAGCGGGTTATTAGCTGATTGAAGGTATGGCTATTGTAGCTGAGTAAGGTGACCGCCAGCGTTCGCGGCACCGGATGTTGTCTTTTGATTTCTAGGATTTTTTCTTATATATTATTATTGGCCCTGTAGTTGTGTTCACGTTTCTTTAGATGCTCGTGACTTGTGACACCCCGGTCGGGTTGTATTGGGTTGTACATACTGGTTATTATTGTCGTTAAGCTATATTTATCTATACATTTATGTTTAATAATTGTTAAAGAAACGGATTGGGTTAGTTGGCTGGCCTTGTCTTCACGAGAGGCGCCATCACGACCAGGTATGGAAATTGGGTCGTGACAGTATGGGTCTATTGTAGGCTAACAGTTGTAGTTGATGGAAGTATTTTAAAGTCAACATATAGAGGGACCATAGTCACGGCTTCCACGCAAGACGCAGAGGGTAAGAATACAATCCAATTACATTCAGTTAAAGAAACAAAAAATATTTTCAAATATTATATGATACCAGTATGGTATACAAGTATACCAACAGAGTATATAGTTATTTTGCTACACACCTGCACCTACCTATGACTATACTACTATATGAAATGCTAAATTAATATAGTGTGTTGTAATTGATATTTTGTTCTTTGGGTTTACATGACAAATTCTACCCCTCGCATATGCAATTGTTGATTCGGAAAATGATGCATCGTGGGAGTGGTTCTTCGTGCAGTTCAGAGAAACCTATGGACAAAGAGAGGGAATGTGCATTGTATCAGACAGGCATGATGGTATATGGAGAGCAACTTCAATTGTCTATCCAGAAGTCCCTCATTGTACATGTATGTTCCATTTGTGGAACAACATAAAGACAGACTTCAGGAAGAGCCAAAAACAAATCAAAGAAGTATACTTTGCGTTAGCAAGAGCATACACTGTTGAAGAATTCAACAGGCATATGGCAGAGTTAGAAGCTATTGATAGTAGAGTGAAAGCATACCTGATGGATATTGGATATGATAAATGATCCCGGGCGCATTCCAAGGAAAATAGAACCATGACCATGACATCGAATATTGCGGAATCAGTAAATGCAGCAAATAAGCACGTAAGAGACCTCCCAATTGTGAATTTGCTTGACTTTATGACAACATTGATTCAAAAATGGAATTACACCAATCGGAAGGATGCAGTGGAATCATTTATGAGGATTGGTGCAAAGTATGAAAAAATATTATCAGATAATAGTATCTTATCACAGACGATGACGGTATGCATTTTCAAAATCATAAAAACACTGCATGTACTGTAGTTTTACTTTTTTACCTTAGTGATTTCACTAAACAACTGGATATTATTATTTGAAAAATACTATTATTTCATATAGCTAATGACTTTTCTTAATTAAAATTATACTAGGTGTTGCCATCAACTGAATTCTTAAATTTAGTAATTGATGGCCAAACAAGAAATGTGGTGCGCCTACATGAAAAAAACTGCACTTGTGGGAGGTTTCAGCTAGACGATATTCCATGTCCACATGCAATGGCAGTTATACAAAAATTCCATATGGATTCATACAAGTATTGCTCGGATTACTACAGCATAGAGTACTTGTTGAAAACATATGAGATACCAGTAAATCCTTTGCCTGATGAAACAACGTGGCAAATTCCAGAACATGACTCTTTGCAGGTGGTACTGCCACCAAAAGGAAGACCTAAAAAGAAGAGAGGCATAGGAGGCTGGGAAGGAAATACAGTTACATGTGCACTATGCGGGAGAAAAGGACACAACCGGAGAACATGCCGAAATATTCCAAAGAGAGATTGATATAATGCTTCAATGTTTTTATAGAACTCATATATCGTAGAATCATAGCATTTGAATTGCAAAGAAATAAAATGCATTTTTTGCACTAGACATATATTTGGTATGATGATTCTTTGCCAAATTACTTTTTGGAAACAAATTTATATGGCTACTTGTGTTTCAATAAGAACCTGTTTATTTTCTATTTTAGCATACAAAAGTGGGATGCATTTAAATTTAGTTGCTGCAGGAAAAAAGATGCTAAAATATAAATGTGATACCTAAGTGGTATATCTGTATACCTTATTGGTATATCTGTATATCTTATTGGTATCAAAATATGTACAGAAATAGAAGTGGTGCCGCAAATGCAACATTTGTACATACATCGTTAACAAAATGGGCACGCTTTGCAGCTCATGTCTGTATTAAAGTATAACAAATTGGAAGCCATTTACATGCAGTTATTGTACATCATCAGGTACATAAATATAAGGTGATACCCAAATGGTATATTTGTATACCTCACTGGTATATAGTGGTATTGCACTAATATGGCTAAAACAAAATATGCGCAAAAATACAAATGGTGCACCAAATACAACGTGATACTCAAAATGCGCACGCTTTACAACTCATGTCAGTACTTACATCTAGTTGCTGCAGGAAAAAAGGTACTCAAATACAACGTGATACCCAAATGATATATCAGTATACTTGATTGGTATATAGTTCTACTGCACTAATATACCTGAACCAAAATCTTTGCGAAATACAACTGGTGCAGCAATGCAAATTATGCACAGATTTTCTTAGATTCAACTACAATTAACAACTACTCTCAATATAATTTCAAGACCAGTTCACTTTCTAAAAATATTTCTTCTCATTCAAATCAATGATCGCCCTATTCTTCAACAAAATAACAACATAGTTCCTCTTTTTGAACATCATAACTCTTTTAAAAATATAACTCCAAAAATAACTTCTGCTTGTGTATTACAGCGAACTAATAATGCTTCTCCTACTACAAATGAAAGTAGTAGTAGGAACTGACAGTGCTACTGTAACAGCCATGTTCTACACTAATAGCTTGACTTCAAGTGCTGACAAAATTCTGTCTCCGAAAGGCACTCTTATTAAACCAACAACTTTATGGAAGAAGCCTAAGAAAAGTCTAATAAAACAAATTGAAGATACATTCCAACATTAAAACAGTTATAGCAACATATTGTACTATTACAATTGTATTCATAGAAAACACTTTTAAAAGCTAGCATTTTTACAATATAATAATGCAAAATACCATACTTCATCAAAAACTATTAAAATCCTGCAAAGTTTTCATGCTACGATTAACTAAAACCAAAAAGAGACCTATACTACTTCTTGCGTTTCTTTCCACGAGTCTTTTTAGGTGCTACTGGAGCCTCAGATTCACTTGATTCGCCATGCAACTGCTTGTTCCTCCCATAGTGCCATAACTGTATACCAAACCTAGCTCGAAGACCATCTACATTAAAATTGGCAACAGGGATTGGAAGATCTTCAATAATATACTCAGCAAAGCATGCAACATATACTCCACAATCTCTGAAATAAAACAAATGAATAGAACATAAAAGTCAATTAGAAGTGAAAATGTTAATATGAATGAGGAAAACAAAGTAAAAAAAAGTAACTATTCTTACGAATTTTGCTGTGTTGGCAGATTTGTAATCAGTTCAATCTCAAAAGGATCAGTCAACTCCTTTCCCATGTGCAGACCATTTTGTACTACAATGTCACTTCTTTGGTTATAAAATTCAATGCTAACTAGAAATAGGGAGATCAACACAGCATATGCCTCTGCCACCTTTTGAATAGCTTTTTTGTGCTTTCGACTACGTAGCGAGTCATATACGTAAAAATATCTCTTGTGGAATGATGCACACCCCAATATCCAATGCCAGTTTTCTGCCAAATTAATTGAAAAAAGGACATGATCAACCTGGTGTCGTGGAGTGTTGCAATACATCCTTAATCCTTTCATGTACTCCATGATATCGTCTGATCTATCAATCAAATGATCTTGTTTCCCACCTTTTACAAATTCTGTGAAAACCCTTTGAATGATATTATTAAATAGAGTATTTGTAGTTGTGACTTTGATTGGCATATTAATTCCATATTTTGCGTTCTTCCTAAGATATTAGAATATAATATTCAAGTGCTGTAAAAAAGAGAGGAAGAAAACATGACTAACACTAAAAATATGATTGAACTACTACAACAACAAAAGTAAAAAGCAGTACACATACCGAACTAGACAGCGGCCTGCCAGAATAGTTTAAGGTATGGAAAAACATCTTATCATCAATCTGTTCAACTTCAAAGTCAAAACAAGGGTCTAGCTTTTGATCACCAGGTAAATACACTTCCCTATTTCATATAAAAGAAGATATGGATAAGAAATATAACAACAAAAATTAAGAAAACATGAAAATAAAAGTACATGAAAACGAATATGCACTCTCCCAATTGCATATTTGCTTCGACAAAGTTTGAGAATGCAGTCGTAAGCTTATAATCAACAACCACTGAAATGTCATTTACAAATGAAAATCTTCCTTTGATAACCTTCGAGGATCCCCCCCACTGCACTAACACCAGATTTCCAGTCATTCCTATACGGCGACTGTTTTACAGCTGCAGGGTGCCTTCTCCGTGTGAAAACTGCAGGAGTTTCAACATCTGTTTGTATCTGGACAATACTTCTTGATACCGACTGATCAGGTTTAGACTTATTTACAGCACGAGTTGTCAGTTCATTTCCAGATTGATTTACATTACATCTCCCTCCTTGTGTAATGGCAGCAATTAGATCAAGTTGAGAATCAGTATATTCAAAATCAGAATCCAAGTGAAGATCACCCCCGTGTCGACATGAAGCTTAAATTAGAAAATGCTAGTGAATAAACAAATATACAAAGTTAAGAATTTTTTATAGAAGACATTACCAGAAGACAAATTCACATTACTGCTACCAACATCCACTTGACCAACACCATCAACCCGAGATGCTGAACACATAAAAGCATTATCAGCATCGCTGCTTAAATAAAAAAAACTATCAAGAACCTATCATTTACATACTAACTACAGAATTAGTAACATCAACATCGTACCCTGTGGAGCAGTATTAGACTCAATAACAATATTTGCTCGTGTCTGTGCAGGGATTCCTAATGGCAGCGGAGCAGGACCCGACTTTTCAACATCATGAGATGACTGCTTATATGTTGCTTGTTGTGTAATGGCGGTGATTTGATCAATTGCAGATACAGACTGTTCAAAGTTAGAATCCAAGTCAAAATCATGCTCATTTACGAAGGGGACTGGAAAAAGTGTTAAAAAAAGGTTAGTGAACGTACAAATACACAGAGTTAAATAAATAAAAAAAGAATAGAAAAATTATATATACAACATTTTACCAGAACACAAATCATCATTAACTACGCCATGACTTGCTGTGACATTCTTCACATGACACCAGTAGCACCTCCATCTCGACCAACCCCACCAAAACCAGACACTAAACATATAAAAGTATAAGCAAGAGTACTACTTTCAAAAAGCAACAGGAAAAAAAAAAATCAAATCTGTGATTTACATACTAGGAGGCGCTTTGGGCGTGCTATCTCCAATAGCTACAGGATCATTCCCAACGTGGCCCCTTTCAAACTGGTCATAATCATTATGCATCTCACGAAAGTCAGGATCATTATCCTGTTGCTTATGCTGAAAATGAGAAACTAACAATTTTATTCTTATACATATTACAAGAATACTATGTGTACTAAAAGTAAAGAATGGAATAGTATCTTATAAGCATATATTGCATCTTTGAACAATATACTATAGCATTATATTATATAAAAGATCAATACCGCTGAATTTTCCTCTAATTTCATTGATTGCCTACCAATAGCTGCAAGCACCTCCTCAAACTTGGTCTCTACAAAAAGCTTCAAACCTTGCAACTCCTTCATTACCTCAGCATTGGTAGGTTGGGAATCACCTCCAGTACTTTCATGCATACTTTGTGTCTTTGGTAATTGAGTGCCAAAAACCTGAAAGCTATCGGGCTGACTGTCAGTGCACTCAACTTCAATTTCAAAGTTTAGACCACGCACATCAAATAGTTGCTTCTCATCATCATTTGGAGTGATGTTCTTTAGCTGCAATTATTAAGCACACTAGTTAGAAATAGAAATGATAATAAAGTATGGAAAGATAAAAGATCCCTATTACCATATGATACCAATATAGTATACATGTATACCAACAGAGTATATCACTGAACTGGGATATTGCTACAACTGTGACTAAACTACTGTACCAAAACATTCAGAGAGGCAATAAAACTATGAGAAAATTACCTGCTCGCGTTGCAAGCTAGACATTCGCAAAGCAACTCGCTCATTCGGTATTTGACCCATGACTACCCAATTCAAAATTCGTGGAAGTTTGTTTCCAATATGATCAGCAAAGTGACCATCCAAACTTGGGCAGCATTCATACAACCAAATCTGTAAAGCCAACGGGAAGCCACCGAGTCTATAAAAAGAAGGCTTATCTTGAAACTTGTTAGAACACGAGTCAATTGTAGCGTTATAAACATCTATACCCCCAGGATAATTATTAAAATCACCGCACTCAACCAAGTCAATGTAAGACCGTGAAATAACCTTTGTTTTGAGTTGAGAAAGTAAGAAGCTGTTCACAAAATAAAGAACTGCTATCTTCAACGCGTCATCATCTGTTTCCCATTTCTTCTTCTTAAAACAGTCTGCTAGTTGGGCCAATGTCACGGATGCAGTCCCAAAATATTTTGAAATCAACCTATTCTCTGCTATGCTCTCTATACTTGTATCACCCTTACATTTCAACCCAGTAACAAGTGCAAATTCACACAAACCAAAGCGCAACCTAGAATCATTCACTACAAATCGCATCTCATTTTTTACCTCATGATGTAC